CTGGCGTCGAAGGCACTGACGGTCTCGAGGCAGCGTGCCGTCCCTTGCCGTGTCCTCTCCCTCCGCCCCCCGCCCTCCGTTGCTCCCTGCCTGCTCCCTGCCAGCTGTCTCTTCCCGCCCGCCCGCCCGCCTGCTCCGTCCCGTTGGCTCTGGCCCCCCGCCTGCGCGCCGTCGTCTGTTTTCTGCTCGTTCCCTCTCTCCCTCTCTCGGGGGCGGCCAAGAGGGGGGGCGTCCAAGAGGGGGGGCGCAAATCATGGCGGGCGGCGCGTGCGCGGCCCAGGAGGCGGCCGGGACACGCATTGAAAAAAGAAGAGGCGCCATGATATATGAGGAGATATCATGGCCCCCGCCATGATAGCCCCCTCCCCTGGTCCCCACCCCCTTCTTGGCCGGCCCCGGCTCGCCGTCGCCGCGAAACACAGGGTTGCCGGGGGCAGGCGGCGCCGACGCGAGTGGGACACGCTTGGGTGCGGGGGAGAAGCTGTGAGGACGTGCCTGGATCAAAGACGCCGGGGCTTGCAACCCAAGTCGAACCAGCGATCCGTTTGTATATATAGGGGAGAAGTTGCGAGGAGGTGTCTGGATCGAGGTCGCCGGGGCTTGCAACCCAAGCCGAGCCAGCGATCAACGAAGCGTCAAGCGCTGGCTCACCCCGAGGGTGCCAGTCTCGCGCCGAAGTGCTGCAGAGACAGAGACAGGTCGACGAAGCATGCAAGAGCAGCGGCATGGAGAGGTGGAGAAGGAAAGGGAAGACAGCAATCACGCTAAGCCCTGTGCTGGCGTTAGCGTTTGTTCGGGCCTGCCCTGCTCGCTGGGCATGGGGATGCCATTGTCACCACGCGTTTCACATAGCATGTACGTTTCGCTCTCGGCAAGGGTTTGGACGGACAAGCACCCGGACTGCACGCTCGTTTGCACTCATGGCCGACACCGCGCGTGGAGAAGACTGCCGCGGAAGCCGCATCGGCCGCCCAAAGTTCTGTGCGAGCTTCCTGCGTAGGCTTGCGGGGCCGCTGCCTGGCAGCTCCAAGGCGAAGACTTCTTTTGATACCGCGAAGGGGGCGGTTTCCCCCGGGCTGTAGGCGACCCGAGGCGGGGAGGGCGGAGGAGGAGGAGGAGGAGGAGGAGGGCGGAGGAATGGAATGGAATGGAATGGAATGGAATGCCCTCGAAAGGGGGAGTGCACAGCACTAAGGTCTGAACAAATCAGAGTGACTAGCCAGCTTGTCTGGCTTCCTTCGTACGTATTCGGTCCAACAGGGCCGCCATTCTTTGCTCGTAAGTGGGTACTTCCCTGGAGGCCGGGAAAGCAACTGGCACCACCGTAAAGTCAGGCATGGAGGGCGGAGGGCGGAGGGCGGAGGAGGGGGGGGAGGAGGAGAAGGGGGAGGAGGAGGAGGAGGAGGAGGAGGAGGAGGAGGAGGAGGAGGAGGAGGAGGAGGATTTTTTTGACATCAACCGTGGCAACAAGAGCGACGCCGAGCGGTCGTCGCCCCCTGCTATCTGGCCTGGAGCAGGCCAGCGAGCAGTGAAAAGGTGAAAAGGAGGGCAGGCGCGAAAGCCACGGGGCGATTTCCCACGGGAGGGGAGGACCCCCGGTGGCTCACCGCCTGCCCCCCTGAGCCCACGACCAGAGAAGAATGAGGTCAGGGCGAGACGCGCGCACGCGCAGAGGACGCATACTGCATCTCTTTAGTCTGAGTCATCAGACTGTGGTGCAGCGCCGACGGCGAGCGAGGCCTCGTCCTCTTCAAGGATTGAGGCGGCTCGATGACGCCCAGACGCCCCGGCCGATGAGGCTGGCCCAGGCACCTGCCGCGTGGCCTGCTGGGAGGGGCTCTCACCAGGCAGGCCAAGCAAGAAAAAGGCTGCTTCCTCTTCCGCGTCTCGCGGTTCAAGAGGGAGAGGAGTTGGGGCAGCAGCAACAGCGGTGCACGACAGATCGGACGAGGGGCCAACGACTCGTTCTGGCTGCTGCCCCCCCTGCTGCAGCGACTGGCCTCCGCACCAGCTTGGCTAGTCGCAACTCCCTTTCTTGGTCTGTGAGACGTCCAGGCCGCTCCTCTTGCTCCAAGTCTTCATACCAGGGGCCTACCTCGACTGAAACACCTTTGCGCTTGGGGTGGCGTCCAGCCCCCGCAGAAATCCAGGCAGACTTGGCGCATGCACTCTGTGGTTGGCCCTCGCACTGTCTAAGTAAATTGCGAGGCTGCCCATGAGAGGAATAGGCATAACATCGCATGCAAATAGTGAGGGCTGCACCATCAGAGCATAGCAGCGCAATGCAGTTATGCCTGAGGGCGGTAAGCACCGCGGACGTCAGCGTGGAATCTCCGAGGCGCTTCCCAAGGGCGGGCGGGTCGATCCCTCCAGGCCGAGAGCCGTCGGGGTTCGTCCGCGGTGCGCCCTTAGCAACCTTGAGACATTCAGTGCACTGCCAAAACGAGGAAGCCCGAGTCCACTGATGGGACCTCGGCTTGAACTTGGGCCTGGGGGGCTTGGGGGCGAGCGGGGCCCCAGTAAGGTTGAGCCGAGGCCACTCTGGCATCCGCTCGGTTGAAAGACGCATAACACACTGGGCGATAGAGAGGCACCGCTCAAGCCATGCCACATCCTCGGGGTCAGGTTGCGGGCGACGGGCAAGCGAGCTTTTTGCGACATCATCAGCAAGGTCATTGCCTTGCTTCCAAAACCGCCCCAACACCGTGAGGCCACTGGATTCTTCAACCTGCGCCTTGACTTTAAAAACCCCTCCTAAAAGCTTGCGGTGGGTGGGGGGCAAAATCCTGGGCACACGCGTTGGTAGGGCAAAGCCCTGAGCAGTGGCTCATTGGCTTGGACGACCACATTCTTACAGTCAGAGTAAATCGAACTCCCTGGCAGGGCGTGCGTTGCAGCAACGGCGTAGGCCCCAAATTCCCCCTCCTTGGGCAGTCTGGAGATTGGGGGCCCAAAGCGGACAACTGATACGACAAATCTCTTCACCGTCGTCACCTACCATCACTATCCCCCACCCAGCCCTGGAGAGTTCTTTAACAGGGTGCGCGGCGCAGGGCCCGCCCACAAAGATATGTCCAGAGATGTTGAGCGATCTAGACGAACGATCATTGGCCCAGATGATCTCAAGTCCAGTATCTTCTACATCATCTCGAGCAGGGAAAGGAAAACATCCCCTGGATGCCTAAACAGGCCACGAGAAAACAGTACGTGGTCCTCTTCGTTGTTCTCGGGGGCGAGGTCGGGCGGGGGCAGGAGGGAGAACTTTGGCTTGAAACTGTCAAACACTGCCTGCCTCTTGTCATGGCACGCTGGGCAGAACCAGAGCCGATGAAGCATGGTATCGGGCGCGCCCCCGCACAGCTCGCAGGCCGCGCTGACGGCGTACCCTGCTTCGGCAGCTCTGGCCCTGGTCCACGTGGCATTACAAGCCGCAGCCATGGCACAACCTCGCTGGTACGGCGTGCCCTTCTTGGATCGGAGTGTGGCTGCCACCGCGTCGTGGCAAACTCGAGCTCCAGGAATATGCGGGAGCAAGGCAGCGCCGCTGGACCTCTCGTGGGTCCTCTGAACAGCTGCCTTCAAAAGCTTCTTAATAAGGGCAGGGGAAGTGACGGTGAGCGACACCTCGTTTCCAAAATCATCCAACAGGGTACAGTAGTTGGGCATGTTCCAAGAAATCCTCTTCAAAACCAACTTCATGGCCCCCAGGGGCCCGCGGACCCCGCGCCAGGTTTTGGGCCCAGGGGTACCAAACACCGCACCCCAGGCGTCCCTCAGCTCAGCCCACGGGATAACAAAGGGAAAGAGCTTGGTTTGGTTGGCCCAGATCCCCTTGGAGTACCTGACAATGGGCGCCACCGCAGGGTACCAGGTCGGGCCCTGGGGTAAAACCAGCACTGAGGTCCGCGACCTCATCTTGGCAGACGGCTGCATAGTCCTAGCGGCGGCGACCTGCAATCTGTGCCATTCAAAATCCGAAAGCCCATGGGCCTCATACCCAAACGTGAGACTGGGGAAGGGGCCAGCGGTGAAAACTTTGGCATCATGCCGCCCGGGGGGCCGCTTGGCTCGATTGAGCCTCCTGACTTTTTTGTGGAACACCCTTTTGCGGTCAGAAAGCTTTTTCCCCCTGCCAGGAAGCCGTCGGGGGGAACCTGGGGCAGAGTCAATGCCCAGGTTGACGGTCCCTTGGACGATGGGCCCCGCAAGGCCGCCAAGACAGCCCCTGAGTTCCGCGGCGAGAGCGTCCGACGAGGTGACGAGAGAAGCTTTGTCAGGCGAAATGATCGCCCCCATATCGACCTCGATGGCTTCCCTGAGGTTGGCGGCGGCCTTAGGGAGGTGCCTGGCAATGTAGGCCTTGGACCCGTTGCAGCTGAGACCGTAATCGTCAATGTAAACGTCGAGCGTGATTCCTGGAGGCAACTGCAACGCATCCAGGGCGGGGATGGCACTGATGCGCACCATGGTGGTCGCGGACTACATCCCGCGACAACGCCGTTGGTGACAAAGAACGTGCCGACGACCACGCCGCCGAGAGAGATAAACCTGCCATGCCGATATCCTCGCACAGCAAGCCGAGCTAACTGGACGGGGAACTCATACTGTTGGCATCGCTGAAGGAGCGCGCCCAAGTGAACCAACTCGAAACATTTGTAAATATCCCACAGAACCGTGCAACTCGCCTGACAGCTGGCCACAGCTCCTTCAGCACGCAGAGTCTGCCTCCAGACAACATCAATCGCGGAAGAAAACTGGGGCCCAGCAAAGTAGCTCCGCTGAAACTTGCTTTCCCAATGGGCCGCGCAGGGCCTGCGGCACCGCCCCCAGAGGCGGTGGGCGCTACAGAAAAGGCCGATGGGCCGATGCCCTCCAGAGGGTTTGTTAAGGAGGGAAAGCACAACAAGGGAGGTTTGCCCAAGAAATACAAGGTGCCAAGGACGTCCAAGGACTCCTCCGACAGGGAGGCAAAATGCTTCATGCGGAACCCGTCAACGGCG